GACGAGCCCAATTCTTACTGGGTCTGATCCAACCAATTAATGGAGCCCAAATAAGTCACAAAGCAGGTCAAGCCCAGTTCGTCACTTCGATCCAACCCGAATGTCCAAGGGGTCCAAGAAAATTAAAACACGTAGAGAGTAATTATCGAGATATCCACTCTTGAAGATCAAGGCTACATTTAATTACACTTACCTATTATGGTTATCCTCCCGAAGGACTAGTGCATTTACCCTCACGTCACCGCCTCAACTAAAGTTCAATGCCTATAAATTGTAAGTCCTCTCTATATGAGAGGACACATCTCTACACCTCTCTCACACAATTTTTCTCTCTCTTAGTTATTGTACCTCTCTTAGAACACACATTTCCTGGATCTTTCTCTCCATTTTATTCATTAATAACAGTTCTCTGGCCACCATTGCTATTTTTTAGAGTAGAGTAGGTCACTCAGACTGAATTACTATATATCTGTGTGTTGATCCGATATTTACCTTTTTGCTATTAATTTTCTCATTAATGACACTTTATCACACACTCGATTGTTAATCTTGCACAAATCTATTTTGTACATCATCAAGGAGTGTTAATTGAGCTAAGCTTTGCGAGCTTGAGCCTGAACCCGAGCCCGAGCTCGAGCTCGAGCTTGGTGTGCAAGTTTTTCTAAGTGAGCCTATTAAATTATTCAAATTCAACTCGTTTAAAACTCAAACTAAACTCGAGCAAGAGTCAACTATTTTATATATGAGGAATGCTACATAGGCTTAAAAACTAGATTTGATAATCTCAATCATTGAAAAGATAGTGGGTCTTAATAAATACTGAGACCCACAATAAAATCAATGGTTGAGATTATTAAGTCTATTTTTTAATTTTATTTTTTAAATTCATGTAGTATTGTTCTTTATATATAAACGAGTCAAGACTTTTAAACTTATTTTTTAAAACGAGTTAAAAAAATTGTTCAAACTTGATTTATTTAAAATACGAGTCAAAGTTGAATCAAATTTTAAATAAATTAAACCTGAGCCGAACCTAAATAACCCGAAGAGCACCCTATTTGCATGTGGGCACTAGGATTGTGGTGCCCGGTATAAGTCATTTGCCAAAACTGTGTATGTATTGCGAAAGTGGCTCGATGATGTCTCAACATGGCTTTTCTGTTCCGTTATGCTTTAAAGCGTTGACAGAGCTCGATAATCTCTTAACATGACTTTTCTGTTCCATTTCATCTGTGTCCAATTCCCGCCATTTCAATCCTAATCCAATTCACTTTTCAACCACCTCCCACATGGCGAGAATTACGAAGGGAACATGTATGTTCCACCTCAAAACCTGCAAATCCATGAAACAACTCAAACAAATCCAGACCCAAGTCTTCAAAATTGGTCTCCACAAAAACAAAGACGCCGTCAACAAACTCATGGCTTTCTGCACAGACCCCTCTCTTGGAAACTTGTATTACGCTGAAAAACTATTTCATTTCCTTGAAGACCCACATTTGTTCGTCTACAATGTTATGATCAAAGCGTATACAAAGAATGGTAGGTTTAGAAGAGCTCTTTTGTTGTTTGATGAATTGAGATATAATGGGCTGTGGCCTGATAATTTCACGTACCCGTTTGTGTTTAAGGCGATTGGAGGGTTAAGAGAGGTTCTGTCAGGTGAAAAGGTTCATGGATTTGTTGTCAAAAGTGGAGTGGTGTTTGATTGTTATGTGTGTAACTCAATCATGGATATGTATGGTGAATTGGGTTATGTTGGTAGTTTGAAAAAGATGTTTGATGAAATGCCTGAGAGAGATTTGGTTTCTTGGAATGTTTTGATTACTGGGTTTGTTAGGTGTAACAGATTTGAAGATGCTATTGCAGTTTATTGCCAAATGCGACGAGAAAGTGATGTGAAACCTGATGAAGCTACTGTTGTGAGCACACTTTCGGCTTGTACAGCGTTGAAAAATATTGAACTTGGTAAGGAAATTCATCAATATGTGAGTAATGAACTTGGATTTACTACTATAATTGGCAATGCATTGTTGGATATGTATTCTAAGAGTGGTTTTTTGGGTATGGCTCGGCAAATTTTTGATGGAATGCTGACAAAGAATGTGATTTGTTGGACAAGTATGGTGTCAGGATACGTCAATGGAGGTCAGTTGGATGAAGCTAGAGAGTTGTTTGGGAGAAGTCCAGTTAGGGATGTCATTCTCTGGACAGCTATGATTAATGGGTATGTGCAGTTCAATCAAGTTGATGAGGCAATGGCCTTGTTCCAGGAAATGCAAATGAAAAGTATTAAGCCGGATAAATTTACTGTCGTTTCTCTGCTTACAGGTTGTTCTCAATTGGGGGCCTTGGAACAAGGCAAATGGATCCATGGATACATGGAGGAGAACAGAATAAAAATTGATGTGGTTGCTGGTACTGCTCTTATAGATATGTATGCAAAATGTGGGTGCATAGAGAAATCATTGGAGATCTTCGGCAGGTTAAAAGAGAAAGATACAGCTTTATGGACTTCAATCATTTGTGGGCTTGCCATGAATGGGAAGACCAGCAAAGCACTGGAGCTATTCTCAGAAATGGAACAAGGTGGGTTTAGACCAGATGATATCACCTTTGTTGGTGTTTTAAGTGCTTGTAGTCATGGGGGACTGGTGGAGGAAGGCCGCCGGTATTTCAGTTTGATGAAGAAGTTGTATCAGATTGAACCGAAGTTGGAACACTATGGGTGTCTGATTGACCTGCTTGGTCGGGCTGGACTATTAGATGAAGCAGAGGACTTGATAGAAGACCTACCCAAAGAAAATAATAAGATTATAGTTCCACTCTATGGTGCTTTTCTTAGCGCTTGCAGAATCTATGGAAATATTGATATCGCTGAACGTGTTGCAAAACGGCTCATGGAAATGGAATACGGTGATTCCACTGTCCATACCCTTCTTGCCAATGTCTATGCATCTGCTGACAGATGGGATGATGCGACAAAGGTGAGAAGGAAAATGCGAGATCTTGGAGTTAGGAAGGCGCCTGGATGTAGTTCAATAGAGGTTGATGGTAATGTCCATGAGTTCCTAGCTGGAGATGCATCTCACCCAGAAATGTATAAAGTTTACTCCATGTTGTTTAGTATAGCTAAACCGTTGTCAGGTTTCGAAGAAAACAAAATGGAACAAGATAAGCCGGTAGCAGGAAATTTGTGATGAACAATGCCATATTTTTGCCAGTCCAAATAGTGAGAAACTGGTTAAACTGTGATAATTGTATCGGTTAAGTGTTGATATTCTGAAAGATGTACATAGAATTAAAATTTTCATAGTATGGTCAAGATCATGTGTGGTTTGGCATACATGAAAAATGTATTGGAATCTTCAAGTGAGGGCTCAAGGAATCCAAGACCAATTTCTTGAGAAAATTTTTGTTAAAAAGGGTGAAAGCAGACAGATCTGGTAAGCTCATGCGATAGAAATTTTAGTTTTTGTATGCTTGTTCATTTGCAGAACTTGAAGGAGGGGGAGGGATTGGAATGGCATAGATCAATGCTAAAGCCTCATGAAAATATATATGCATTCTTCCAATCCCATTTTGGTTCAGATTAGTTAAGAGTTTCAATTTGCCAAATTAGTCATGATCTTTTGGGGCATTTGTAGTAGGATTCCAATGCAATGGATTTGAAGTTTTGTAAGCTTGAAATATAAATGTTAGTGGAGAGAAAGAACACAATATCTTGCATGTGAAAAAACAAATTGTCAATTGTCAAGTCTTAAACTTTTGTTTCTAAAAGTGCATTGAATTTTTTGAAACAAATCTATGCTCCATCAAACTCTGGGGAATCCCTTCTTAAAATTTCCCACATGATAATGAAACCCGACAACTTGATGAATTTCTTCAACAACAACAATTGATCTACAGCTAAAGCGAATTAAGATCCTATCTGGGACAGATAACTAATGTTGTGCTTAAAATACTTTTCTTGATGGAATTATTGACATCGAGATGCAAATTCGTGTATAAAGATGTGGAAAATTCTGTTTTTACCTATTTTAGGGACTTAATCTAAGAATATAGTGTCCGATCAAAAAAATCTAAGAATATAGTGAATTGTAGTTGTTAGATTAGAAGTAGGCTCCATCTAGCAATAAAACACAGCCAATCTATACAACTACAAATGTTATGCTTCCTCTGTTTTTTTGGAACTTTTCAGACGAAAGCAGCCTCCTCTGGCTGTTCAAAGTCTTCAACCTCTTCAAAGTAACATCACGAACTTCAAATGCCAAACGGTCCAAAGGCAGTTTTTAACATAAATTTACCTCTAAAATTGCTATAGTGACCAAAAAGGAGAACAAAATATAGACCAAATGATGTGACACTAACATGTCGGGTATAGTTTGAAATTTAAATGAGTAAAAGCGAGAACAAAAATATCTCCATATTAGTGTCCCATCGTTTGATCTCTGTTTTTTGTTCTATTTTTTACTCAATCTAACATTATTTATTGTCTATGGTTGAGGTGCACGAGTTTGCAATTGCCATTGCAATAATAAACTATCGTCTAGAAGCAAAATTTTCATCGCGTCACATTATGCCGTTTGGCTGAACTTAGAGTTTCAAGCGGAATGGAGGGTTCCTGCCCGTTTGTGGTCCACCATGTTGATGAGCCTGAGTCAAACAGACCCCATACGCGAGTAGGTGAAGGCCATCTTTTGTAGTGCTACTTGGACATTTTTGATATGACGGAAGAGGACCGGCTCTTCAATTTCATGAAGGGGCTCCAACTTGCACCAAGATATCCAAGATTTAGGGGCAGCACTTTGATACTATTTGAAGATTTCAAGTTCTCCTCTCACAAAATAACATAGGTATACTAGCATCAAACATTTTCGATGATATTCATGGAGCAATTCTTAAATAGTGCTCCTTTGATTGCAAACACTAGCTTTCTGTGTGACTTCATAAAAAACAATCAAAGATAAAGCAATGCTATTGGGACTTAAAATCTGACCTAATTTGCTGACTTAAATCAAGTAATTCACGTAATAGTGGTCCTTATAGCGGTTCTTTTTGATTTTAAAAAACGTTCAAAAAACTTGTTACGGAACTACCGAACTAGAGCAAAAATACGATAACTAGATACATAATGTTGAGTGGCATGCCCGATGCACGTCATTTACGAGTAATTATGTATATATATATATTTTTTTTTGAAAGGAGTAAATATGTATATTTGAAGTTTGCATTACAACACTGATCATCAGCCTGCTGCTAGTTTCTAGATACACTAAAAACAAATCTCATTTTGTAGAGAATAATGCACCTCATATTTCCTACCTACCCCAAAAAGCCTTCAACCTCATACTTTTTTGAGATTTCATTGTTACAACCAGCAGAAAAGTCCAACTATCAACTATATATGCACCCAAAGAGGCTTTACCACTTACCAATTTGCATACCTGTTATGTGAGTTTCCTATGTGGCTGGGCCAAAGTGCCACGTATCACCATCGTCCGGGTCAGGCACCACCCTCCAACCATCTCTCCACACTCCCCACGTGCCTTACCTGTGCCAAAACGAGCCCAACACCTTCTCTTACCTTTATACAAGCATATATGTCTTCCCTCTCCAATTCAAAGTCAATGCAGACCACAAAGCCCTAGTGTTCACTTTCTATCCCCATAGTTCCATATCTGTGTAACACATTTTGTTTTTTCAAATCCAATTTTTCTGTGGAAATGTATCTCATTCCCAACAACATTGGCTCATGGTACAAAAAACGAGCAAATGGAGATGAAGATGATGATGATGATGGCGATGATGGATATGACTACGTCCCTGCAGCATGTAAGGAAAGAGATGGAGATGGAGATGGAGATGGAGATGGAGATGATGATGATGATGGAGATTACGACTATGCTCCCGCAGCATAGCATCACTGGAGACTAGCGATGACAATGATGGTAATAGCGGCTATGATATTTACTTCTGCGGCATCAATGGATTACATATTCGTAGTGTTATATGTGGTATTGGTGCTCTATGTTAATGATAGAGTGGCTTTAAAAGCTAATGATGGGTTTGTCAAAAACCCTACTTTTTTGTAGTTTATATTGAGGTTATGCATTTGATGTTCATGAGATCATGATTTTAATGGAACTTCATATATTTTTGTTATGCCAATCTGGAGAAAATTATATATTATGCGACATGTGACATATAATGGCAGTCATATATGTGATGGTATTGATATCCTAGTCATGAATTGATCATAGATGGCCATTTCTAGATTATTTATATAATAAGGAAATTAGAAAGTTGAATTCTTAACTTATAAAAACACAACAACGATTAAAATTGATCTAATTTTTATATATTTTGATTCAATAGTACAAAATTAATTTAATTTTTTTTCTCGCCCAAAAATATCATCTTTTCTACACGACTTTTAGTACCAGACAACTCAATTAACACACTCTACAATGTCAAATAATTCTATCAATTCTCATCTATCTCTTTCTTCATTTTAATTTTAAATTAGGTAATTAAAAAAACTAAATTATTATTTAAAATCTAAATATTGTAGGATCAGTTCGATTTTCGATATTGTATAATATCTTCAGATTAGAGGTTATTACTAGTCAATCGACAAACTACAACTTTGTTTATTTTATAATGAAGTGATATGCGGCAATGTTGTTTGTTTATTGTCTGTGGTGTAATACTATACTAATAGGTTGAATTTGAGGGGAATGTTTGCTTGTCTGCTAGTGTTATTTTATGGGGAAATATTTGGTAGAGTTCAAAAAATATTGGTTTCGTGGGGACCAAAGAATCTCACTCGATAAGTGTGTGTCACGATTTTTGACACGACAAAATAACAAAATATCAACATGACACGAATCTTAAAATTACACATAACCTATGAAGTACGAATGCGTATACGGCGATACAGTAAAACTTAAAAACATAGAATACGGATACGATTAGGATACGTTTATAAAATATATATATTTTTAAAATTTTATTATTATATTTAATGTAATAATTATGATTTATAAAGTGAATCACACATCTACTAAAGATATATAATAATAACTAACCATTCTATCATTTATAAATCATACATTTTACATCGCATACATATTGCATAATATCAAATTCATGCTTAAACAAAAGAAACCATTCGATTACAAGTCAATAAACAAAAAATTTGTAATTTCGAATATTATCCTATTATAAGTCAAGCAACAAAACAGTCCCCTCTTGTTACTAAGACGTTTCTTCATTTCTCTCCCCTTCATCTTGAAATAACATAGCTTTTATCTCTGGCTCATCAAGTGAAAGAGTTGCAACTTCAAGCAACCCAGCACCCTCCAATGAATCAAATGCATCTCCACCAATGTCCCATAGCTTCGTATCTCCTTCCATGTATTGTTTACTTCTCCTCGATAAGAGACGAAGATTGTTGTGTACAAAAACCAAATCTTGGGCACGAAGTGGTGTCATTTTGTTCCTTTTCATGGAAGTAATGAAAGAGTAAGTGCTCCAATTTCTTTCACTGCTAGACGAGGAACAAGGTTGGCTAAGTAATTTCAATGCTAAAGATTGAAGTATTGGTGCAGGAGACCCATGAGAAAACCACCACATTAGAAGGTCCATTAATCCTCGATATATTCTTGAGTCGTGCTCTCCAAATTGATTCAAACAATTAGAGAACTTAGCATACTCAGTATTAGCCTTCATTCTCTCTTGTGGATTCGGGAAGTACCTGTGAAAGCATTTATTTCTCATAGATGAAATATCTTCGTCCTTGTGAGGAGGAACGCGATTAGGATTTTCATTTAGCCACTATGCACTATAATACCTATATTATAAAATTAGAAGATATCAAACCAACTCGATAAAAAAATAATAATAATAATTTAAGAGTAAAAACTAAAAAGAAATTTGTCACCTTGGATTTAAGGAATATGCAAGACAATGAAGAGGTGTGTTACTTTTAGCCCATCTCTCAACTAGAACTTTATGTACCACATCATAAAAGATTGACCTTGCATTATCTGGTTTTCCTTCATGCCTATATATAGCTGTCTTTACCTTTTCAATCATTGTGTCCCACATTTCATAAACCAAATGAAGACATGGTATGTCTGTATCGCAAATCCTCAACATCTCATAAATGGGTAATGTGAAAGAAAGTATATAGTCTATCTTATCCCACCAAATGTCACTCAAGATGTTTTCTTTCACAAATGCCGCTTTCACAACATCATCTTCTTTGTAAGGAGACCATTTCTCACTAAT